GCTGCTCCCTGGGAACAACTGAGGCGCAGAGGGGCAGCTCCAAGCTCGAAGCATCAGCATCTCCAAGTAGCCCATTTCCTCCTGGACAGTGGGCCAGGGAGGAGACATATCCTTGTGTTAGCATCCACGACTGTGATTTCCCGAGAACGGAATTATCTGGGACTGGGGTGGGATGGGGGGAAGAAGTGGAAGGGGGGAGGTTGGAGGGGGTGCTGAATGCCTAATGAAATCAACAGAGGAAAGTGCTATTATCCCCCAGCATCAGCCATATTATCACATGCTCCATTGAAATGACTTGGGATTCATCAGAAATCAAGAATTAAATAAAGATGATAACTCAGTTTTAAGTATTCATGAGCCACCATGAAGGGAAAAGTGTTACATGTTACTGAATAGTAATTTGTAGTTCTGTCTTGTAGGGCACTGGTAACTTGGTCTTCCAGTTGCTTGGAGCCCTGAGTCTGCTGTTAACACTTTGACCATACTCCTAGCTTCATTAAGCACTTTTGAGACACTAATTCTTCTCGGCAACTCTGTAAAATGGGGGAAATAGTTATGTCTTGACCTAGAAAAACCACAAGGACCTGAGGATGTTGTTCAGTAGGGGAAGTGCTTGCCCTGGGACCTGGGTCATCATCATCCATCAATCGGGGATGGTGGCACAGGCCCGTAATCCCAGCACTCAGAAGGCAGAGGTAGAATTAGAACTTCAAGGTCATCCTTGGTTATGTAGCGGAGCTTGAGCCTGCCTGGGATGCAAGAGACTTCATGGGGTAGGGGGAAAAGAGGGTTTCAAAAGAAGCATAAATACATTGGCTGTGTTTCATGCTCAGACTCCAGAAGACAAACCAATGGTGCTCCTACTGCAGAGTAAAGCTCTAACCGTGGGTCCTTGGAGAGCCTGGCCTGATTTACAGACACAGGAAATCAACGACGAGAGGGTATGGGCTTATGTTCTAGTTGTGCATGACACAGCCCGTCAACATTAAAAAAAAAATTTCTTTACATTTTTAATGAGGGGTCTTTAGACATTTATAGCCATTAAGGTATTTTCTGAAACCTAAACTGTTAGCAGAGACCCAGGATGGCCCCACTCCCTGAGAGATTCCACTCCTAGACTTGCCACTGGTGTTCTCCCGAGGAAGTAGGGAAAGTCAGGTGACTTGCTGAGTCTCTTTGTTTGCTACATAGTCAAAGATGATTGAACTCCTGATCCTCCTGCCTCTGCCTTTCCAGTTTTGGCACTGCAGGCACACTCCACCACAGGTTCTTCCCATCACTTCTGAGGGACATCTAGTAAAACAACTCTTACACATGTGTTCTGGCAACACACACTGGTGAAGCAAGCCACCTGCAGCATGCGCTAACTTAGCCTTCCTTGACCTGGGGTGTAGATCATTGGCCTTGCGACATGGAGGCAAGCAGATTCTGAGCCTTTGCTACCTTTATCAAGAACCCTCTCAAAAATAAACAGACTGACAAAGCAAATACCCCTTGAAGTGTGGGAGGCAAGGCTGGTTCTAGGAGCTGAGCTTTCGTGGGTTTGGACTCTGCAGCCTGTGCTACCATCAAATAAAGTGGTTAGACACATCAGTCTCTAAGAGAAAGCCAAAATTTCAGAATTAAGTCTGCTTTTCGGGTGGCTGAAATATTTCAGAGATCTGAAGGAAAGAAGTGACGAGTCATTCCTAGGTTTCGTAAGTCACACTAGCTGCATGAAAAACAGGGTTTTCTGAAGGAAAACCAGATCTTGATCTACCCTCTGCCCAGTTTATCAGTCACTGCTGAGCAGGAAAAACCATGAGAGTTCACAGCCGGTGGAATCATGGGTACTCTGGCAGTCATGCTTGTTGGTAGATGGGTCAGAACTGAGGATGTGAGATGGGATCGAAGCTCTACAACCTTCCACCTGAAGCAATCAGGGCTATTTCTCCTCATGTTTAGCCCTTGCAATCAAACCTTTGTGTTTATGCAAATCACTGAAAAATGCTATTCTTTTGCTTCTGATGTGTCTTTGTGTCTAAATGCACGAGAAACTATGAATATTTCTAGCTGAAGTTCAAATAATTTAAAAAAAAAAGCACAACCAAGCCAGGTGGTGGTGGCACACTCCTTGTATCCCAGCACTCGGGAGGCAGAAGCAAGGGACTACTCTGAGTTCGAGGCCAAACTGGTCTACAGAGCAAGTTCCAGAACAGCCAGAGCTATACCAAGAAACCCTGTCTGTTTTGAGAAAGACAGACAGACAGACAGACAGACAGAGACACAGACACAGAGAGAAGGAGGAAGGAAGGAAGCTGAGCTGGTTCATTCTACATAATTACTTAAGGAGTCTTCCATGGTCATCCCTCCACCTTAAATACTGTGTTAGTCAAAATATATTTTAGGGCCAAGAGAAACGGTGCGTTCTGGTAAAGGTGCCTGCCACTACCAAGCCTGATAGCCTGCGTTCAGCCAGGCTGAACCTGGTGGGTGGAAAGAATCAACTCCCTCAAGTTCTCTAAACTTTAGAAACTGCCCGCATGCAAACAGGAGTGCACACACCCCTAAAGACACGAGTAAATAAAGCATAATACAATTTAAATGCATTTCAGACTTCAGACATAGATTCAGTTTTTGCTTTTGAAAATGGGCTCCTAGATTTCTTTTCTTTTCCTTTGGTTGTACAATTGCAATATTCATGTACTTCAGTTATTTTTGACAGTTCTTCTGCAAACTATAAATGCCTGGGAAGAACATTTCTAAATTACCCCACTAAGGAATAAGACAGATACATTTTTTAACAACTGAAACAAAAGCTACGTTCTGCTAAGTTTCCGCATTAACTCAGTGTCCTTATGGAGAAGGCACAGTGCTTCTCGGCTGACTGGGGGACAAAGCCCTTCGCACACAATAATTCCTAACCTCGGATTATGGATTTGTGTGTATGGCTGCCCACACGTAGGATCTGTTTGTGACTCTTCAAGAGCTCATAGTGGTTTTTACAAATGTTCTGTGCTCCAGGGCTGGGGTGCAGCTCAGTTGGTAGAGTGCTCTCCTAATATTCGGAAAGCCTGGGTTCAAACTGTAGAAATGCTTACACTACACCCTGCTGGCACTGCCTGCAGTCCCAGGGATTTGGTGGTAGAAGCAAGCGCTGGGGTCACCCTTGACTACAGAGTGAGCGCCACATTAGTTAGCGTGGCTTTTGCTTCTGAACCTCGCTGCTGCTGCCCTGTTAGTCAACAGCCCCTGCCCCTTATTCCTTCATTTCCTGGACCTCTTGGTCCTTCTTGGCTTTCTAAGGTTTCCTTTTCATCCTAGGGACATGAGTGATGATGGCCAGTCAGTCTAGTCTAGTAGGAGAGTTCCAGGATAGTAAGAAGCCCTTCAGAAGCAAGGTGAAGAGTTACTAAGGAAGACAATGAAGGATGACCACTGGCTCACACACACACATGCACATATATGAACATGCATACAAGTACATGCACAAAGTGGTTAAGTGGGTACAATTAAGTGCTGTGTAACAGAACAGGTCAGTGTCTGGATGGTGTCACTGTTGCTGGGCATAGCGTGTCCCTTGTTATGGCTGTGCTTGGCAGACTCTCTACTGTCTTACCTCATTCTTCATGGGGGGTTTGATATCAAAATTCTCTTCTTCTCTTAAGTGCCTTTGAACCTGGCTTACAGCTGCTAGACAATCCACATGTCTGTGTTCTCCCAACCCTCAAATATTTCATCTTTAAGCTATAGTGTGGCTGTATTTGGAGAGCTGGCCTCTAGGCATATAGCTAAGGACAAACAGAGCCATAAAGGCCTAGAATTGTTATCTGGTCAGGTTAGCCGCGAGATCTTTCTTCTCTGCTTTTGCATCAAGAGACAGCATTAGTTACTTTGGACTTCACTGTTACAAATACCTGACGAAATCAACTTAAGCTAAGAGAGGTTTATGGCAGCTCAAGGAGGTGGAGTTTAGCATGGTGGAGCAGGCGTGGTAGCAGGTGTGTCCTAGTCTATACTGTCTGGAGGGAGAGCAGTGGTCTCGCTTCACCAGTGGTCAGGGAGGTCAGCACTGCATGCTGGATTCACCTCTTTTCACTCTGAGACCTCAACCCTCAGATGTGCAACACCCACATGCAGTGTGGGTCTTCTGACCTCAGTTAACCCCCTGGACACACCCAGGGGTCTCCAGTCAGTAAGGCTTACCCACCAGAGGCTGCCGAATATACAGCAAGTAGGTGGCTGTCTGTGCACCAGGAACCGAACCCTTGCCAGCTCTTGAGGTGGCCAGCACCTTGATCTTGGAATTCCTGGCCTCCAGAATCATGAGAAATAAATTTGTTTAAAGCCAACTGGTCTGAAAGTGTGCTTTAGAATCCAAGCTGAATAAAATACACACTTCTAAAAATAAAACAGGTGTGAGCACATGCACACGCATGACCACATACATACACACTCAGCTTCCCTTCACTCCTGACTCTTATTTTCAAATCATTTCCTTTCCTCGTGTGTTGTAGTAGCAAGGCCGAGCAGAACAGGATCCCAAACACGGATCTGCAGACAGTCCACAGGGCTTTCTCTAACTTCTCTTCGAGTAGAAACCTCTGCTGCCTTCCGGTAGCCCATGCTATTTAACTGACCTTGTAGGTCACTTTGGTCTCTGCTTGTCACCAAATCTCAGCCTAGTTCCTAATATAGTACTGCCTTTTTCTTTAACTGAATGGTTTTTTTTTCCCAAGTGATTTAGAAAAATGGGAAGCTATCTCTGAATTTCTTAGTATTCCACATAGGTGGTACCATCCGTCATCTGTCTCATTCCAGTTGAAGCAGAAATGCAAGTTTGGAATCAAACTTAGGAAGATGGTTTAAGGAAATGTTCTCTTCTAGACTCTACTGTGAGCTCTCTGTCTCCTCTCTCTCCCCCTCATGTGTGTGAAACATCAAGATTTATATATGAAATTAGAATCCAAACCATTGTTTATTTAATGGAATATTGTCACACCACAAGCCTGCAAGGTCCTGTTTATCTCGAGGATAAATGTCATCACTGTCCCTGTGACAGTCAGATTCTGGCACTGTCTATGAGAGATGTGACAATAGGTAAAGATGAGGCTGTAGAACGTTGGCTTCTGTTGCCGTGGTGACTTTTAGTTTCCATGTTGGTCCTCTGCCCTCACAGGACACCCTTTCCGTGTCGTCCACAGTGAATCAAGGCAGGGTCTGGGTTCCGAGCACAGGAAAGGCACCTGCAGGGCAAGGGAAGTAGTGACAGCTGCAGCGATGTCACCCCAACCTCTGTGAGGTACTTGTCACATCTGCATACACACTCAGGGACACAGATGCACAGGTACAGGAGTGAGGTGCTTTTGTCTGTCTACTGTGTAGCACAGGCTGGCCTCGGTTGTGGAAATCCTCCTGTCTCTGCCTTCCAAGCATTGAGATCACAGGTGTGTACCATTAGTCTGGCCTTTCTGCTTCTAAATAGAACCTACTGGTATGGTTTTACTTGTTTGTTGGTTTGGTTTGGTTTGATTTTGTGTATTCAGTCTTCATAGCAGAGGATAACCTTGAACTTCTGATCCTCTTGGCTAGGGTTACGAGTGTGAGTCACTATACCCAGTTTGTGTGGTGCTGTGGATGAAACGCAGGACCTCATGTTAAGCTCAGTTGTTGAAGGAGCACAGGATGGTGCTGTGATAACTGTAACACCTACTATACCTCCTATTGGAGTTGCTGGTAAAAAGCCACAGCATTTCGTGCCTAAATGTGGCACTGAGCAGAAAAAAGCCCTGGCCATCGTGATGGTGATGAGCTCCTACGGAGAGCCCAGTGCACTGTGAGCTCTGGGGAGGGGGCTTCTCACAACTCAGGGTAAGGAGACTTGGGGGAAATCACAGTGACAGAGACCAGTAGGAGAATTTTTCAAAAAGCAAAGTGAACAGAAAAGGAGGTTCATCTGTGGCTGCCCGAGTTACCAAATGCCAGCCTGACAGGGAGAGGGGCTGTCGTGGGAAGAATTCTCAAAGCTGTGACTAAGCTAAAAAGGGCAGAGGAGCTTCTGCTGAAGAGTGCGGGTGTATTTTTAAAAATGCAAACTGTACAAGTGGGTATTACATATGCTGTCAGTTACAAGCAACTGATGCACTAGCAGCCTGTTACCTGGCACTGCTGGGCTGGGAGAATGGTTCCAGTTCTCCAGGCTTAGGATCTTGTGGGAAGAGAGTAGATGGCTGCTGGAGAGGGTGATGACCTCTCATAGTGCGGCAGAAGCCCAGCAAGGTCCACAGCTCACTGGAGGGAGCAAGTACCTACGAGAGATTAGAGATGCACACAGCTGCACACGGGATGTGCACAGCTGCACACAGGATGCACACAGCTGCACACAGGATGCACATAGCTGCACATGGGATGCACATAGCTGCACACGGGATGCACATAGCTGCACACGGGATGCACACAGCTGCACACGGGATGCACACAGTTGCACATGGGATGCACACAGCTGCACACGGGATGCACACAACTGGGACAGTGAAGCAGATAAAAGAAGTAGATCAAAGATAAATGTGGCTTTGACAGAGACAGGCAAAGAATGTGGGTTCCAAGATGCTGCTGGCTCCTTCCTAGGATCTAGAGCCCACCAATTTGCCCAGCTTACAGTTCTTGTCTTCCGTGGTTTCCCTGGGTTTCCTCGGAAGATGTCTCTATCCCAGGGAGTGTTGTGTCCCTTGACTCTCGTAAGAACTATTTCTATCTGTGTGTCGACCTGCCTAGGGTACACCTTCACTTGGCAGACACTTCTGTGGCATCTCTAGGGGAGCCCACAACCTTCCTGCTCTCTGTGCCTCTCCTGCAGTGACCTTACCATTCGCCCACATTCCCAGTGTAGAATCCTTGTGGCTTTCTTTCTTCCTCTATTACCCCCTAGACTCAGAGTTACACATGAAGACAGATGTGCAGTGCAGGAAAGCATGCGGTGCTCGCTGACACACACACACACTAGATGGCTGCTTCAACCGCCCTGATACAGGGATCACAGGCATACGCCACCGCACCTGACAATAACTGTGAGATCCTTTCCCAGCCGTCAAACTGCTCTTGTCTTCGACATTCTATCCTTGCTTTAAAATATTCCAGAAACTCCCATAGCCTACTGGACATGACAGAAAAGCCTGGGCCTGACCTAGCATCCATACATCCACTGGCCTTGGCCTGACTTACTGGGGACCCCTCCCACCACCCCACTTATATGCCAGATTAAGGCCTCTCTAGATTCCTTGTCCCAAACTGCTGTGTCCTGCTGCCATCTTCTCTTTATAGTGTCCTTTGTCCTCAGGGACCCTTATCTCCTTCAGCTTCAGGACAGATTCCAGATACTTGCTCCCTCAAGCTCTGGGAGCTTCAAGCCCAGGTCTCGGATGCTGGCCTTGAAGGAGAGTTTAGGTTGCAACTGTGTTAGCATCTCCCCATTTCTGTCAAACTTCTCTGGTGTTTGAAGAGGACCAGAGATGGGGAGCAGAGGCAAAGGGAGGGGGAGGGGTTCCTTAAGAGCATCACTAACTGAGTTATCAGAAAAACCCTGGAGACAAATAAAGTATTTATGAGGCTAGAAGATCGTGAACTGTCCAGATGTGGTGATTTAAATGAGAAATGACCCCTCTACTGTCAGACATTTGAATACTTGGTCTCCAGTTGGTGGCACTGCTTGGGGAGACTTAGGAGGCAGGGATTCGCTACAGGAAATGTGCCGTGGGAGAGTTTAAAGTTAAACTTGTAGCTTTGTTCTTGGGGTTTGTGGAAGTCTGAAAGAACATGGCCTTCAAAGGGAGTGGCACTATTAGGAAGCATGACTTTGTTGGAGTGGGTGTGGCCTTGTTGGAGGAAGTGTGTCACTGTGGAGGAGGGATTTGAGGTCTCATATATGCTCAAACCAGTATCTTAATTCGCTTCCTGTTGCCTTCAAGATGTAGAACTCTCAGTTCTTTCTCCAACACCTTGTCTGCCTGCGTGCCTCCATGGTCCTACCTACCATGACGACAGTGGGCAACACATCTGGAACTGTAAACCACCCCAATTAAATGTTTCCATTTGTAACAGTTGCCATGGTCATGGTGTTTCTTCACAGCCATAGAGACCCTAACTAAGACACGGTTCAAGATGTGAGCGCTCAGCTCCTTGATCCTGCTGCCTCTGTTCTCCTGTATCACATACACCAACCCTCTGGAACCACAATCCCAAATCAACATCTTCTTCTGTAAGTTGCCTTGGTTGTGGTGTTTTATCATAGCATAGAAAAGTAATTAGTGCAGCGGGACCTTGTGGAAGTGTAATTAGGGTGACTTTGAAATGGTTTGCTATTACCTTTGGAGAATCAAAGGCTTAATCAAAGAAGCCTCGAATACAGAATGGATGGAAAGGCTTTGAACTTGGGAGATGAAGGTATACAGTGGATACAGAAATTTTGGGTGTTGTTAGTGGGTGAATTATCTACAAACGGTATGATATGTATGAGAGAGACTTCCTGAAATGACGCTAGGGGCCTGTGGTCCATTAACTCAAACTGTCCTTAGTTCAACTTTCTAAGAGGAACGTAGTGATGTCAGCAGCCTGCAAGACTTTGTACTGGGCCTGGTATCAGCATCATGTTCCTCACTGTCCACAGCAACTACTTAAGGGTTGTTGTCCCACCCTTCTGATAAGGAAGCAGCGGCACAGAGAGCTGTATTTTATGTCATTATCATAGCATTGCACAGCTTAGACCACAGCGGAACTGAGATGCCAATCAGTGGACTCCAAAGCTGGGCTAGTGGACTAGATTGTTTCCCGGCTGCTGTAACAAAACACCCGACAAAAGCAAGGGATGAAAGATTTACCTGGACTCTGCTTGAGGGTACAGGGATGGCGTGGAGGAGTGTGAAGCCACTGATCACATTGCGTCTACACAGAGAGGTGAATGCCGGTCCCAGTTCATTAGTTATTCAGTCCAGGACCCCAGCCCTCGGACGGGTGCTGTCCACATGTTGGGTGGGTCTTCTCACGTCCGTTTACCTATCCTGGACACCTCTTCAGCAACACACCCTGAGGCTTGTCTCTTGACAGGATTGACTGACACATGGATATTGCATCTAGGGTGGGCTGGCCACTGTTCTCACACAGCAGCTTCCGGCTTTTCTGGGTCACCAAGCAGCTCCCAAATCAAGACATGGAGACATTATTGGTTAGACATGCTCAACTTTAGCTTTAGCCCATTTATGACTAGCTTTTTTTCTTTAACCTGCTCCTCTTCATCTTCATTTTACCTCATGGCGTTTTACTTTTCCTTCTGCATGATCCACTCTGTCTGTTGATGGGTGGTGTGTGTGTGTGTGTCCCACTCTGTGTGTTGACGGGTGGTGTGTGTGTGTGTACCACTCTGTGTGTTGACGGGTGGTGTGTGTGTGCGTGCCCCACTCTGTCTGTTGACAAGTCGTGTGTGTGCGTGTCCCACTCTGTCTGTTGACTAGTCATGTGTGTGCGTGTCCCATTCTGTGTCTGTTGAAGGGTGGCTGCCTGGCTGGCCTTGGGCGTCTCTCTCTTTTTCTCCCTCATTCTCTCCCTCCTTTCTTCCCTCCTCTCATGCCTGGATTTCTTTTTTTCTTTTCTTTTTTTTTTTTTTTTTTTTTTTTGGTTTTTCGAGACAGGGTTTCTCTGTGGCTTTGGAGCCTGTCCTGGAACTAGCTCTGTAGACCAGGCTGGTCTCGAACTCACAGAGATCCGCCTGCCTCTGCCTCCCGAGTACTGGGATTAAAGGCATGCACCACCATCGCCCGGCTCATGCCTGGATTCCTCCTACTTACTTTCTCTGTCCACCAACCCTGACTATCCCTTGCCTGCCCAGCTGTTGGCCATTCAGCTTTTTATTAGACTAATCAGGCACTTTAGGCAGGCAAGGTGAAACAGCAACTCATCTTTACATAATTAAAGAAATGTAGATAAACAAACATAACACCTCTTCACATTGTTAACAGAAGCAGCAGACACAAACGTAACACTTCTCTGCCTAGTTAAAATAATAACTTAAACAGCTTCTGAATGCATTTGTGTTCTAGAATCCTCTCCAGAGAGGTGAACAGGCCGCATCTCACAGGGATGACTGTTTGCCTCGTCTGTTGAAAAGATGATGAGAGAATGAATGGAGTTAAATCAGAGCTCAACTTCTGTCTCCAGTTCCTGGAACTGGTAGAGTGGAGGGTGACCACACTAAGTGGGCTGACCCCATAATAGAAGACTTAGCACATTTCACAGCCTGCCCACATGCTCACCACCTCCTCCTCACAGCTAACCTCAGCACCACCCCCAGCAATCTGGCTCGGCAGCCTGCTGCGGGCCTGTCAGAGAGCTGCCTTCCTTTTTGGAGGCTTGGGGGGCCAGAGAGCCAGGGTGGAAGCACTGAAGCGTCGATGTCATCCTGAAACAAAGGGGGATTGAAGGGAGGAGGCGGCTCAGATGGAGCGTGTAAGACCCACCCAACCTCAACCCCAGCAGGAGCAGAGCTAGGGAGATGGAAGGAATGGGAGAAGTGGCCAGAGAGATGAGTGCAGGTTTCCAGATACTGGGCAGGAAAACAGAGAAGGGCCAGCCCAGCGATTTACACACGCAGAACAGTGCTGACCTCTGTGAACCCTGGTGAACTCTTCTTCATCATTGGAGAGGTTATCATGAACATGGACAGTGGCACCGGCCCGGGAGGCTGTGATGGGTCCAAGCCTGGGTGTGGGTGTCCCAGGCAAAGAATTTCCCATTTGTTACAAAGTGTGTGTATGTGTGTGTGTGTGTGTGTGTGTGTGTGTGAGAGAGAGAGAGAGAGAGAGAGAGAGACAGAGACAGAGAGAGAGAGAGAGAGAGACAGAGACAGAGACAGAGAGAGAGACAGAGAGAGCAAGCTTGTGGATTCGAGTAGCAGAAGAGGGTATCAGATCCCCTGGAACTGGAATTACAAAAAGTTTTGAGCTGTCATGTAGGTGCTAGGAGCCAAGCCCAGGTGTTCTTAACCACCAAGCCACTTTACCATCCCCCAGAGTAGCTCTGTAACCGGACTGTGGATGCCTGGTTGTCAGGGGGAGGAATCCCGCTTCTGTTCAAGGAAGCACTGCTGTGGCACAAGAGACCTCACCTCCTGCCGCGTGCTCAGGCTGGGGTGGAGGGCGTGATTAAAGAAATTGCTGCCATCTAAACAAAGACCAGATTCTTGGGGGTTTCCCAGAAGTTGGTGTAGGGAAGCCAAGCTTGCTCGAGGAGTGTGTACAAGGCTAGGGGCCTTACGTGCGCAAGTGAGACTTCCATTCAAGAGCAGTTCCAACAACAAGAACAAAGAAATGGCAGAGGCAATTTCATATCCACATCTTCATAGTTTCTTACCCCAGCCCTGTGAAGCAGCACAGAGTTTAATGTTGTTGTTCTCATTCCGTGGATAAGAAAACTGAGCCTCAGAGATGTCAGGGTCTCTTCGGTTTCCCGAGGACGTCACTGTATAGAGATGTCAGGTTCTGTTCGGTTTCCTGAGGACATCACTGTGTAGGATAAATGGGCCAGAGATCAGCACGAAACAAGTGATATATACTAACCACCAGGGACAAAGTTTCCAGTCTGAAAACAAAATCCCCAGAAACTGCGATAAGCAATAAATGTTTTCATCAGTATGGGGTGGGGTTTGAACTCAGAGTCTCACACAGGCTAGGTAAGAACACTGCTGCTGAGCTATGTCCCCAGCCCTTTCCTAATTTAACTTGGAGACAAGGTCGTGTGAGGCCTGAAGACCCATTCTCGCCTCCGTCTCCTTGGAAGCTGGGACTATAGGCACCACTGTATCCTGATGGAGATAAGCAATAGTTTAATGCAAGCTTTGGGAACCAAAATTCATGCACAGAAGCTGTGGGGAACCAAATATGAAAATAATCGATAAAGATAGGGTCTAAGGTGGCTGGAATTGGAGACAGGAGTGAGGCAAGAGAAGAATAGGGTTCTGTTTTGAGTTGTTTTGAGTCAGGCCTCATATAGTTCAGCCCGAACTCAAAGCCACTTGTAGTCAAAGATGATTTTGGATTTCTGATGCCCCTGCCTCCACCTCCGGAGGGCTGGGATTATAGGTGTGCACCTCTATGGGCAGTTTTCTGCAGGGCTGGAGATGGAACCAGGGCCTCAGGCATGGTAGGCAAGCGTCTACCAAGTGAGCAATCCCCTAATTCCTAGGAGTCTTTCTCTATTAATACCAGGGTTTCTGGTAAGCCTAGATTTAAAAAAAAAAATCATTCACTTTTATGTGTATGTGTGAGTGCCTACATGTATGTTTACACACCCCACTGCACATTCGTGCAGTGCCCTAGGAGGCCCGAAGCATGTCAGATCCCCTAGAACTGGAATCACAGCCTGCTGTGAGCCACTATGGGTGCTGGGAACCAAATCCTGAGCCTCTCTACAAAAACTGCCAGTGCTCTTAACTGCTGAGCCATCTCTCCAGTTCCGCAAGGATATAAAACATAATAATTGAAGGATTAATAGAAGCTCAGAGAAAGAAATCGAGGTTCAACCTGAAGATTCGAAAAGCAAAGCAGCCAGCCACTGGCTCTTACCTCTACCTCTGTCTGAAATGGCGATCCTGCCTCCAGGAATCTCAGAATGAGACTGAGACTGAGAGCTGTCTCCTCCTGTTTTATAATGCTCTCTAGAGCTGGGATTAAAGGCTTGTACCACTGGGATTAAAGGCATTCACCGCCCGGTTTCTATGGCAACTAGTGTGGCTACTGGGATTAAAGGTGTGTGTTACCACTGCCGGATTCGTAAGGCTGACCAGTGGGGCTGTTTTCCTCTCTGATCTTCAGGCAAGTGTTATTTATTAAAATACAAATGAAATGCCACTACAAATAATATTTGTATAGTTTTCAGATTCTCCCTCTTGCTTCCTGAATGTTTTGAACCTCTCTTAAATGTTACCACTGCCATCTCTGCGGCAGCTCTCAGAGGGTGTTGGGTGTGTGGCTTGCAGAGTTGTGCTGCCTGGCTTTAAATCCTGGGGTCCATACTTCCCCACTGTGTTCTCCTGGGGAAGCCATAGTCCACAGCTCCTGCTCCTCTGTAACACTGAGAGAAATGAGGTTCACCTTAGGGGCCAGTGAACACAGCACTGCCGTTCACCTTAGGGGGCCAGTGAACACACACTGCCCTCCGGGTGCAGAGCTCTGCTGTTCTTGTTACTTCCAGGACCAAGGCTAAAGCAGTGCAGGATGATGGACAGCAGGTTTTTGTTGCTTTGTTTTGTCAGAAATCACCTTTAAACATAAATTTTGATTCTGTGACTCACAAACACACCGTATCACTTTGTTTACTTTAGTCTAGCCTTTTCTCTCTGTGGGACGCCCCATTCCTCCTCTTTTGCTTTCGTCCCCGTGTCTTGGAACCCATGCTGACATTCCCGAACTGGACATGGCACATGCCTGTAGTTCCACTGATGGGGTGCTGAAGCAAAAGACTCGGAACGTGAAAGCTAACCTAGGCTGTATGACAAAATTCTGCATCAAGAAGTTTGAAGAAGCCGGGCTGTGGTGGCGCACGCCTTTAATCCCAGCACTCGGGAGGCAGAGGCAGGCGGATCTCTGTGAGTTCAAGGCCAGCCTGGTCTACAAGAGCTAGTTCCAGGACGGGCTCCAAAGTCACAGAGAAACCCTGTCTCGAAAAACCAAAAAGAAAAAAAAAAAAAGAAATTTGAAGAAATACACTTAAAAAAAAACCTGAAAAAAATCCAATATGTATGTTTTTATATTTCTCTCTATATTTCCATAGTGAGATATAGACATGACATACTAATGTGTATAACAATACACACACTCGGATATGAAGGCCGGGGACTCATGTTGCATAGAACAGGATGGTGTCATAGAAACTATTCTGAATTCTACTGGTGAATAATAACCTAGAAATTCCAGCAACTAAATCCCTGTCTGTCAGTGGCGTACACTGGTCCTCAACACAACTCAATCTCCCATTCTCTGTGGATACGGCTGTACTTGACCCCACTTCTGACAAGAGAGCTGCAGTCGCTGGTACTGATCGAAGGTTCCGATGTTGTAGATTCATTCGCCCAGCTCTAGAACATGATATAAATGGAATCCCACACAGCCAGGACATGGCTATGACTGGATTATTTTGTCAGTGTCACATTGTTTTAGATGCTTGTCTTGGTTCTTTTTTCTGTTCCTGGGATCAAACACCCTGACAAAGGCAGCAAAGTAAGGGAGAAATAGTTTCTTTTGGCTGACAGTTTGAGGTGGCCACCTATCAAGGCAGGGAAGCCATGGCATAGGAGCTTCAGGC